TGAGGCATTCCTGAACTTCAGTCTGATCATATGTTTTTACTGAACCTGCTAAAATCACCTACCATTCCCATTAGCCCAACACTACCTGGGAAACTGCTGCCATTCTCACTTACAGCTTTTTACTTCTAGCCTTTCCACTTACACTGTGGCAGAAAATCATCTTAATCTGTAAGATTAGAGCCTTGAGATAGGCAATTGCTTATGAAACAGCCAAACTTTAACAACCACAATGGATTTGTGTTTTGGGATTTTGTTTGTGTGCTCAGTAACTGGTGGATTAGAGCTTTGCAAATATACTACAGTTGCAAATTATTTGTCTTCTCAGTGTAAATACACGATGCCAAACCGGTGCAGCATAATCGATCCCAAGGCAGCCCAGTTTTTGCTAATTCCAGTGGATCTACATCCAACCTGAATGTGAGCCAGGTTTTCTGTCTCCCTGCTTCTGCTGCAAAAAATAGCTGTGGATATTAAGAAGAATTAGTGTTCTATTTAAACAAGAGTCTGATTAAACAAATCAATTAGTGATCTCTTTCATGTAACTGTGAAGTTACATTTTCATAATTTGTGACACATTGTGTGAAACTAATTAATTTCTGGAAAATGTTCATCTGTGATTCAGCTACATCCGTTACACTTCTTGGAATATCACACGGAAAATGAAGCTACCAAAGGGAAACATCTGTATCTAAAAACCCAAACATTTCTGAAGTTTAGCAACATGCATTCTTCTTGGGGCTGCCACCTATTATACTCAGCTCTAGAGCAAATACCAAAGGGCCACTTGAGGTGACCTTTTGTATCAGATTAAACAAAATGAGAAAACACTTGACAATCAGATTTCCTCTGCTAGGCCATGGGAAACAGCAGAGCAGAGGAGCAGATACAGTAAAAACATATCAATTCAATCTCATTTGCTTTAGAAGAGTCCAGCAGTGAAAAGAACAACTTACAGTGAAAAACTTGAGGTCTCTGTAATTTGGCACCTCTTGAAGTCTGGCTGGATTCTCTTGACAAGGGCTGTCTCAAGAAGCAATAAAATGAGAGAGGATGAAGAAAAATAAACAACCAGAAAAAAGTTATGTGAGAAAGGGTTTTCTTTAAAAGCTGTTTCTTAGGAAGAGAATATCCCCAGTGGACTGCAGTTTTTTATCAGTGTTCTTGTTGCATGTTAACATGCACTGGCTTTGAATATTTTTTGAAAACAGTGTGGATTTCAAGGTTCTCGGTGCTTGTGTAAATCTGTGACTCCCTCGCTTGTTGGTGTGCTAAGCAAAGCTGGGAGAGGAAAACAAACTGTAGTTTCCCAGTGAGGTTAAGGTAGCACAAGCCAGAATGCTGTTAAAATAATAGACCTGTTTTCTGGTGGTGCTTGTTCCTTCCAGCTCCCCATCCAGCACATGCTGGGTAATAGCTCTACTGGTAGTGTATATTGCCACTCATAGAACTATGGAGTGGCTGGGTTGGAAGGGACCTTAAAGATCATCTAGTTCCAACCCCCCTGCACGGACAGAGACACCTCCCACTAGACCAGGTTGCTCAGAGCCCCTTTGAACACTTCAACCTGTTCCAATGTTTCGCCACCCTCACACTAAAGAATTTCTTCCTAATGTCTAACCTAAATCCCCCCTCTCCCAGTTTTAATCCATTACCCCTTGTCCTCTCGCTACAAACCCTTGTAAAAAGTCCTTCCCCAGTCCAGTGGGGTTCCTTGCCACTCATTGGCAAGATCAGTGGATTGTTTATTTGCATTTCTCAGTGACAACACATGAATAATAGAAACTGTCAGCTCTACTAAGCAAGTGACAGATCTATCATCAAATGACATCCCGCTCTAAAAGGTGAACTGATAAAGGAGCCATCAGGGAAGGGAGGAGAATTTCCAATATTGAACTGTGATGA